CCCCAGGAGTGCTACCATTATGCAATCTTTCAAAAATCACTTTAATATTAAAAAAAGGAAATAAAATTAAACATATGGTTATGACAACAGGTCAGGCAACATAAAAGGATAACAGCGAAACAAACCAATCAACCCAGTTAAACAAAATAGCAATTCTGAAGAGCATGGCAGCAGGTTTTATACCATGTAACAAGAGTTATGACTTACTTCTTGAGTGATTGCTGGTCGGAACTGTTTGTGCAATTCAATAATTATTCTTAAGCAAATCAGTACATTTTCTTCATTCTCTGTCTGGAAAAAAAAAGAAAGAAACTTTTTAGTGAGCTAACTGCTGAATTCTCCAACTACTCAGCGGGTACTTCAAAACCCTTTAAAATCATATTCTTCTCAACAATCTGAAGTGCCCCATCAATATGGGTTTGTGTGAGCAAGATGCCTTTCCTTGGATACCCTGCAGCCCTAGACTACGGCTGAAATTAAATCCACCCTGAGGGAATAAAACCCAGACATTTCCACCACTCCGTACCATCAGATCTGTTCCCACTGCCCCTCAAAAAGAGACCTCCATGTGAGCTTCCAATGACAGTGTTGTGAATTCCCAGATAGAAAACAAGCTCTCAAAAATAAGCTATCTGCCAGAAAATCCTGCCCAGCATGAGAACAGCTCCCTGCATTTGTAAAATCCAAGTTTCTAAAGGGCAGAAGAGAACATGCAGAAAACCTGTAGATGGTAAGAGAGGGCATGGGTGAAGCTTAAAACAGAATGTCTTTCCATTCCTGCTCCAGCAGCACAGCACAGATTGAAAATCCTACCCCCAGCAAACTTTGGAGATGAAGAAAGTAGAGGAAAATATTTCTGAAAGTTTCTGACAGTTTTAAGAGGAAGTAAAAAATACCTCTAGAAATCTGAACATCACAGACAGAATATTTTTAGTATGAAGACGAAGATGTTCATTTGTTGGTATTCTGTGAATTATTTCAAGCACAAGCTTCCGGAGTTGCTATAAAAAAAAATAAAGGAAAAACAAAAATAATGATATGACAGAACTTTTTGAAAAGGCCACAAAACCCAACAATTAGTTGCAGCATCTTTTTCAGCTTAATAATTCTACATACTGAAATAGAAAAAAAGCCATTTTATTTCATGTAAACATAGGCTTGTATACAAAGACATAACTCTTTCTACTACCCACCTATGTGAATGAGGCAAATTTAGCTAATTTACAGCTGAAAAATTAGACTTTTTTTAAGGAATGCAATTTCAAGTATTTAATGACAAAGATTCAACTTTTGCCTTTCATTCCTAACCTTCAGTAAAGTCAGTAATTTGTAACAATGTGTAGTATTTCACAAAGAAAGCCAATTCTGTTGCACCTACTTTTCCTCCTTTTTCACAGAAGCCCAGAATAGCAAAAGTTTATAAGTAACTTATTTAGAAACAGGACTTTTTCAGCTCCACTCCAAATGACAGATTATTTTTAACAAGTCTTAAATCAGTTCATTAGGTTAATCAAGGACAGCAAAAAGGCAGGAGATGCTCCACACAGTTTACCTGTGCTGGCTTCTCCTGCAGAAACTGAACTTCCCCATCCTGCAGAAAGGTGAGAAACCGAGGGATGATGTGTTCCAGGAATGTAGAATATTGAGGGGATGATGTCACATTCTAATTAAGCACAAAAAATGGGGGGTTATAAAATAGACATCACACAGATTATACCCAGTTACATTCAAAGCCACTATTAAACATTTCCAGTGAATTTTGAATAGATTCAGTGACTAAGTATCTGCTGACACTACAGAACCACGTGAGTTCCAAGAGAACATTAGCAAAACAAATATGAGCCCTTCCCTACTGAAGGGAAGAGCAAAGAAAATCAACTAAGTCTTCAGATTCTAACATATCACCAGCCTAAGCAGTTAAAACTATTATTTTAGTCAGATAAATTGTTTCAGAAATAGTTTAAGCAGATAAACTCCAGAAGAATCATTTTTCGTTTTCTGTAACAACAGGCACGTAACAACTAAGTATTCAACTAAAGTATAATTTCTGCTAACACAAGGCTGGGTTAACTTGTGTTTCACATTTTCTCTGCTGCTCATCTAAAAAGATGGTCCATCACCATGCAAAAGATGTCCCTGGAGACATCTCCACTCCTGATGTCAGATTCTGCACCTGACAACTCCTCTTTCACAAGAGCACAATACACATTTGAACTAAATAAAAGAAAGCACTAAATACAGACATTTCACATAATTCAAAAAACAGAAGAAAAATTTCTTACTTCACTTTTATTTAAATACTTAAAGAATTTGGCAATGAAAGCTCACTAAGTCCAAATGTAATTCTTCAACAACCTGGTTAATTCCTAAATACAAACCTAGAATCAATGACTTGTAACCACATAAATCATTAGTCACAGGATACTACTATTAATATTTTAACTACATAACATCAGAAATTCAATTCATATACATTAAGCACAAGAAAGTCTGCCATTGCAGAAAGTTAGGGGGGTTTTGATGGGGTTTTGTTGCTTGGGGTTATTATCTTTTTATTTACCTCAAAATTCTCACTGACTTCTTGCATCATTTTCAATTTGGTTTCATCAGCTGAAAATGAAAATTCAAGCAGAAAAATGTGAGTGTAAAGCTAGGTCATGAAGGAAAACAACAAACTCATTGATCAAAGAAGCAATCAGATCTTATCAGTTTAGCTATCACTGCCCAATTATAAGACACACAGTTCTCTCAAACAACCACCACACAACTGCACACACACACACAGCTCACTCACTTTGGCTCATGCAAATGTTTCTCATCATTTTGCTTCTTCAAAAATCGAAACTCAAATTTCAAAGTGAATTTGACAGATTTCACTGTCTCTTTCATCAGTTGAACAAGTCTGCAACGCTTGTGAAACAAACTACTGAAGAGCTGCAATTTACAAGAAGAAAAAAGTCTCTTACGTGTATTGACATCTGTAAGAGCAGCCACAAACTGAAGGTATTTTTTCATCAAAGTGGTTTGGTCCACCACCGTAGGCCCTTGTGCTGAAACAAATGCCATCTTGGAGGAGTAAAGATCAGCTTTCAGTACATAAAATCAAGATCAACACACCTACAAAAGAATACAGAAGTATTTGTTAGTTTACACAGCTTGTAAACAGCAGCTATCCCATCATCTCCATCCATTCTTCTAACATACTGAAGAGGACCACCTTTTCCAAAAAAACACAACTGTAACATTTACTTAGGGCTTACAAACACAACACCAAGCACGTACAGCACTCACTGTGACAGGACTGCACTAACAGATGAAAGGGGTTATTGAGCACAAACATTCACGTGTTCTGCGCGGTTTCCTCTCTCCCAGCAGCAGGCTCCAGGCTCGGGGATGCTCCCGACACCGCACCCCTGTCATCCCCTGCCTTCTGCCCCAAACTTACAGCGACCCCCGGACACTCCCTGCGGGACTCGCTCCCAGGACCGCCTGCAGCTGTCCTGCCGCCACAAGCTGCCTGTCTCGCTCGTAAAAAAGCCTAAAATCACATCTAGCTTGAGACACCGGCGATCTTCCCTCCTCCCCTGGGGGGTCCCTGTCAGTTTTGCTCCCGGCCAGATCCGGCCGAGCCAGCCCGGGACCCCGCGCCCCTCACCTTCCCCGCCGCAGCGCTGCTCGCCCGGGTCGCTCCCCGCCGCCAGGGCGTCGTCACGCCGAGCCCATCTCCGCCCTGCGAACACGGGCACCGTGAGCGGCCGCAGTGGCGTTTCCCCCGTCCCTCAGCCCTTCCCGGTGCCGCGCTCGGCCCCAGGCCTCCGGCGGGGCTCCGGCCGCCCCCTCCGGCCCGCAGCGCGCCGGTCCCGCCTCCCCCCGCCCCGCTCCACCGCGCCCAGGCCCGGGCCCCACCGGGGCGCCGCCGCCGCGCTCCTCACCCCGCGGCTCCCCGGGACCGCCCGGCCGCGGCCCCCCGGCTCCCTCCTTTGTTGCTCCCGGAGGCCGGCGGCAGCGCATGGGCGCAACGGAAGCGCCCGAGCTCAGTTCCGGCCGCCTCCTCCCGGTGCCGCCTCCCGCGCCTCTCCCCGGGCGGAGACGGGCACGACACCGCCTTCCGCGCCTCTCCCCGGGCGGAGACGGGCACGACACCGCCTTCCGCGCCTCTCCCCGGGCGGAGACGGGCGCGGTTCGCACCGCCGGTCCCGCGACCCTCGCACAGCCCCGCCTTGACCCGCCCCGCCGGGGCGCTGCCGGCGGCCGCTGCCTGAGGCCGGCCCCGCCCGTCCCCGCGTCCCCGGAGGCTCCGCTACCGCCGCGGTCGCCGGTAACAGCCGGAGAGGAGTTACCGGGGCAGGGGCGGCCGCGGCCGGTGCCTCCGGCCAGCGCAGGGCCCGCTCCGCCCCGCCGGTGAACCCGGGGGAGCGGCGGCACCACCGGAAACGAAGCGCGCAGAGAGACTGATCCGCCAGAAGAGCGAGCGAGAAAGAGCTTCGAATGTTGAGTTTAAGAAAACAAAAAAAATAAAAGTAAACGAATGAAAACCCAAATGTACAAAACAAAACAGGAAAAAACAAAATAAAGCAAGAAAAAAAGAACACTAGAAAACCACATTCCGGCGCTTTTGCTGTCGCTCCTCTCCAGCAGCGCACCCGTTACAGGCCGTTCGCAGCGCTGCGGGACCGGTAACAGCAGCCGAACTGTCCCCGCAGAGGCATCCCCGCGCCACCGCAGGAATACTTTATATGTGCTTGCCGCAACCAAAGAGCAGCACAAACCCCTTCCCAAACGCTCCGGGATGTCCTCACGCTCTCGGCAGATGGGAGGCATTTGTGGTTTTTATTGACTATTTGTAGAAACCGCCGGCGGCTTTGCATCCCGGTGGCGCAGGCAGCGCGATCCCGCAGGAACTGCCCCCGGGAGAGGCGGGCTGGGCGCTGCCGCGGGGGAGCGTCCCGGGGCCGCGGACACGGAGCCGCAGTGCCGCGGGGCAGCGCGGCCCCAGCGCGCCCAGAGCCGCTCCCGCTTCGAGAGCCGGCCCCAGAGCCCGTCCCCGCTTCCCCAGCATGCGGCGGCTGCTCTGCGCGCTGCTGCTGCTGCAGCTGCAGCTCGGCCGCGCTCGCTCCCCGGCCGCAGGTAAGGGGTCGCCGGTCTGCGCTGGCATCGCCGCTGGGGAGAGGGCGAGGGGCGCGGGGTGCTGGGGGCGAGGGCTCAGACCTCAGGAGTGAGCTGCATCACGGATGGGGGTGGTTCCCTGCCCGAGCCTGATAGATGTGACAAGGGATGGAAGCAGCTCTGGGCACGCTCCCACCTCTCCAGACTTTATTCTCCAGCTCTGCGATCTTGGTGCCTGCAGTGAAGGTGGGGCACCCCGGGAAGCCGGGGTTCTGATTTGCATTTCTGACCCAAAAGCTGCACTTCTGATTCACCCGCTGACCCCACGCCGCAGGTCACAGGGCACATGGGCAGCTGCTGTCCCTCGCTGTGGCACTCGCAGAGCTCCGCTCTGCAGAGAGAGGTCGGAGAAATCCCTGAATTGGATGGAGTGTTTTGCTGTGCCGGTCACTCCCTGGGTGACCTTGGGTTAGCCACTGAACCCAGCTGCTGCAGCTGTTGGAATGATATGGCCCTGATTTGTAAAGCACCGCGATATCCTCCAAGGAGAAGGGCTAGATAAGCATGAGGTAGTCAGCTATTTTTTCCCTGAATTCTGCTGGAACTAAGTGGAACATAGCCTGAATCTTCTAGAGACATGAAACCTCCCTCTGCCAGATTTCATCAAATCACAAGCATTTCTCTTTTAACTCAGAAAATTGAACTCAGGGCCATTTCTTGTGCTGTGAAATGGGAACAGTGGAGTTCTTTCTCAGGCAGTAGCGTTACAGTTCATTTCTCACAGTTCTTCTGCCTCCAGAATTGTTCGGCATCTGTGATCTGTAAAATAAAATGCAGGCACGAAAATGCCATCTCTTTCATCTCATCCCAAGATGATGGGTGCAGAAAAGCTAGCACAGGAGTTAGCTAGCCCCGTGCTCCCTTCATATCAGAGGCCATGGATGAGTGAGAAATGCAGTTTCTAAAGGTCAGAGATTCAGGTGCCTGGTAGCATTCTGGTGGCTGCTGAAAGAGGGGATAAGGAAAGGCACCTGCCTTAGAGCCCCCCAGCTCTGCTGCTCTGCCCAGCACTGCTGATGAGAGGAGAGCCAGGCAGAGCTCTGATACAGGGAACTTCGGGTCCTGCTCCCAGCTCTGTCCCAATCCACAGCTATTTTGCTTTTCCTTTTGTTTTGGGGCTTGGGGGTTGATTTTGTTGTTTAACACACGCACATTCTTTAATGCTTCTGCACTGCTTTTTTTTTTTTTTTTTTTTTTTTTAATTTAATGTATTCTTTCCACAAAACTCCACACTGTCTATTGCAGTAGTTGGAAATCTGAAGTAATTTGAGTAAACATGGCAGAGAAGATAATGGTGAGTCATTCAGAGCAGCAGAGCTGGCTCAGCATCACAGGTCCTGCACCTCTCATGCCTTGATGTCTCATAGAATCATAGCATGGTTTGGGTTGGAAGGGACCTTTCAAGATCACCAAGTTTAACCCCCTGCTACAAGCAGAGACATCTTCAGCTAGGTCAGGTAGCTCAGAGCTCAGTCCAACCTGACCATGGATGTTTATACTGGGCAACCTGTGCCAGTGTTTCACCACCCTCATTGTGAAACAACATCTCCCTCAACCTGCTGGCTGGTTTTTTTTTTTTTGTTGTTGGCTCAAATCCACATTTTCATCCACCAGTACCCCCAAGTCCTTCTCTATCCCTTTATCCCCCAGTCTGTACTGAACACCAGGGGTTACCCCAATCCAGTTGCAGCACCTTGCACTCAGCCTTGTTCAACCCCATGAGGTTCCCATGGGCCCACTTTTTCAGCTTGTCCAGGTCCCTGTGGACAGCAACTGAGCTGCCACTACAGCATGGTACATCTTTTATTTGCCTTAGGACTTCTGGTCCTTCCCTGGAAAAGGAAATTTACGGTGGACCATAGCACAGAAAATGCTTTTACTGAGTTTTTTTATGTTTACTTATGAGGAAAGTTAGATAAACTTTTCAACAGAGCTGGCAAAGGCATCTAGTGAATGAAATCTCACCTGAGTTTGAAAGTTTACATCATTAGGACAGAGATTAGAGCTGAGCCTCTTCCAGTAGCTGGAAGTCTAGTGATCACATTAGATCATTAGTGACAATGAACCTATAGCCAGCACCCAGCTCTGGGTGTAAAACCTCATCAAAGATTTTGTGATGTCCTGGACTGAAGCTGTCTTCTACTATGAACATTTCTAGCACCCAGTCTGACATGTTGTTTACTGCTATTTATTTGAACACATATACACACGCAACAGTTTCTGTTCCAGATTTTAAACAGTAAAAAATTATGGTGGTAAATTCTTTGCTGGGATAAGTGTCATTGTAAGTCATATTACTAGAGCTGACTAATTCAAATGTATAAATAAATAAATGAAATTTTAAATGCCATATAAAAAGGTTTGGTTTACTTATTTTCTTGTGCTTTCCACAGAGTTGTATAGTCTGGAAATAACCAACAATGGTCCCATCACAACGGGAGCTCAAGCTACTGTTCAAGCCAGGCTAAGAACGAAGAACGAAAATGTCACATCAAACTGGTATCACTTTAACTGGGTCTATGCTCCTCTGATTCTGATAGAGAAATCCGAGCAGCAGTTTAATTCCATAATTAATGTGACTGGTGAATTCCCTGGCACTTTCCCTGTGTCTGTCTGGGTGACTCACAAAAACTGTTGGTTGTGTCGGCCGATTGCAAGAAACATCACCGTGCTCCAGATTACAGGTAAAATGGGCAAAATGGCTTTACACCCTGTACCTCTCCAGGAACTCAGTATACATGCCCCTGCAGCATCAGGGAGAAAGCCAGCGTAGATATGGCTTCTGACAGCAGTTTGGTTTGTAGCCCTGTGGCTGAAGGTGGCTTTGGGGGCGTGGTGCAATCAGTACCTTTACAGCCACGCTCTAGTCTCTCTACACCCAGGAGCAAAGTGTGGTGCTGCCCATGTTTTCCTGCCTCTGTCACTTAGAGAAACTGAACTGGAAACCAGATGCTTCAGCAGCTGCAGTTCACATATCAGCATGGGTCAGTGATGTCCAAACTCCTAGAACAATGCTTCTTTTACTGCCTCCCAGCATTTCTAGACCTAAAGTTAGGACGACCATCAGCAGTGCCAATCTGCTGCTTTTCCCTGTTGCATGACACAGCAAATCTTAGCCCATCAGCACAGCAGAGCATTACATTTTCTTTTAAAGGTCTGTCTGAGTGTGCTGAAATTGGATCTGAAGTCATGGCTGCATTTCTAAATGTTGCTAAGTCCAACTTCAGTTTTTTGAGAATATTCATAACCATAAATATGCTTTTTTATTTACAAATTAACCACTGGTGTGCTATGGTTAACCAAATCTCTGATACAGGGATTGACAGCCCCATTCCAACAGTAACTGCAATTATTATTTGTGCATCACCAAAAAAACTGTTAACCAGGTTTAATGAATTGTTAACAGGATAAGAGTCTGTTACTGGTAATCAATAGCCCATTAATTTTATAATGAGCTGGTGTCTCATCATATCTCTTTGATCATAGGTTAGAGAGGATTTTTTTAGATCAGTCCTTGCCACTCACTGTCCAACAAAGAACCTCTCACTGACAAAAACATCCCCCCTTTCTGTATTCACAATATATAGCACGTCTGTTATTCATGGTAGTCAAATCTTCAATTTCTGTAGAAATAGCTAAAACTAAGGGGGGAAAAAAAGCTACATTAAAAAACTCCACAAAACAAACAAAAACCACCATCCCAGACATGATGAGCATGTGTACTGGCCTGACTCTGAAACTAGATGCTTGATATTGATACCAGTTATTTTAAAATAAATAGTAAAAGTTTATATTGAGCTCAATCAGTCCAGGATTATTTATCTTAGTTCTATTGATGTTTTATCATGACCCATTGTATAACCCTCAATAAATATTTTCATTCACTGCCTCATTCACATGCATGACAACACTGAGTAATAGATGTAAAATACACTTAACCACTTGGACTGGGACACAGCAAGACTTACCCAGTACATCTGAAAGAATGTTTTCATGCACACACAGAGCATACTGTAGAAGCATGCTGCAATTCTTCTGTCACATATGCTGCCATACATGCTGTCATTCTTCTGTCACATATGTTGTCATTCTTCCTTCCCCTCTTTTATTCTTCAGAATTTATCACAGGGAACCTCACCATAGCCCAGATAGAAGACAGCAGAGTTACCACACATGGTTCTAGCTCCTCCACAGACACAGTGACCCGGATTTCTTTCTCTCTTCATGACCCAAGTCATTACTTCAAGTCAGCATCATTTGTCTACAACTGGGATTTTGGAGATGGGTAGGTGTGGTTACTCTGTTTGCTTTAATGAGTATTCAGGATGGCTCTGATGCAGATGTTCATCTAGAAAAAAATCCCAATAAAATCAGTTAGCCAATAGTCTGCAGGCTATAAATGTTGTTTTCATAAATTTTGTGAATTCTTTTTTTTAGTTTCTTTAATTAAACATGTGGAGATTAACTCTGGATCTTGCACTAATTGTAGTTCTATAGGTAATGCCACAGACATAAATCCTCGTTTATATGGACAAAAAGTAGTATTAGAATCGCAGCCACTGGAACGTTGTCTGTAAAGAAAATATATTAGAACTTGTCCCTTTTTAAACCAGAAATATGCAAGCACTTGGTAAAAGGCAGTTTTGATGCTAAATGTTCTCCTGTTGCACACAGAGTTTACCAGATTACCAAGGAGCCCTTTGTCTACTGCAACTGCTCCTCCAGGGGGAACCGCACGGTCCATCTGAAGGTCGTAGCTGAGTGGGAGCAGACTGGAAGCATCATACACGAGAGAGAAATGATGCAGAAAACTGGTGATTTTACCACAGCTCTGGAGCTCTTGGGTAATTATGAAACATTTTGCACCTCCAATGCAGAACTAGCCCTGCATGTACAGATACAATCTAGCTTTGATGTGGTAACACAACTTCAACATTGTTTCACCTGCAAGGACTGGTCAACATCATTCGGAGAAGTATTTCAATTGCAGAATTGACTGCGTGCTCTTCTAGGGTGGAAAAATCGGTGAAAACAGATAAAATCTTCAGTTTCTTTTTAATCTGCAGACAATTTTACTGTCTTTTATAAAAGTCTTACATACAATTCAAACAACAAAGTGTTCATGGTAACTTATGCTGGATATGTTCAATTTACACCAGCTATCCCTAAACAATAAATCCGTTAAATCAAGCATTAGGAAAGTCTCATTGATTTGATCAGCTTCAAGAGTAAATAAACACAGAATTAAAAATGTAAATAATTAATAAAGTTGATTATGCATATAAAAAGGAATCAGACAAAAAGTCAGGAAACTTACAACATCTCTAGTGGTAGGTTTCCTTTTGGGGTGTGAGAAAAATAGTATTATTTGTGTGACTGATGAAGCTCAAACCTGCAAGTCTATGCTGTGGAAACAAACCTTCACTGGGAAACCAGTGAGACTTAAGTTTACATGTGTAGTGTGACATCCTTGGCTTTTCATTTCTTCTCAGATGCTGTTAAAAGTATTAACATAGTGGGCTCCAGAGAGACTCACGTAATGGAAAACTTGAATTTATCTCTTCATATCAATGGCACGTAAGTAGCAAACACAACTTCTTCCCCCCCCCCATAATTGTCTCTTTAAGTGTTTTTCCCCAATGTTTACTAAAAATAGTCTGTTGAACCCCACAGAACAATTATTTTTAAAAAACCAGAACCACCTCCTTCCCCCTCAAAAATAGTGCTGAATATTGCACTTTCCTGACTTAAAATGCCATGAGCTCTAAGAGCCTGAAAGACCCTGCATCTTTACAGAAAAGTAGAATCCTCTTAGGTAAAGCAAATGCCTTTTTTTTTTTCAGTCTTGGTAAAGGTAATGTTAAAAGACAAGTAGCCAGAGAAATAGTGGGGGAAAATACATCTGAAATCTTCTTTGTGAACTTTTCTCCTTCATCAATTTCCCTGTTATTAAATTGAAATATATTCCAAGCCCTGTTGCATAGCAGCAAAGTCTGACTGGCATCGGGGATTAATAGGTTTGGGTAGTGATTCTGGCAAAGTTCAGATTGCCACAAGATGAACAAGACACAGAAGCCCCATGCAGCAAGGATCATAGAAAAATAGGAGGGTTGTGAGCACCTCAGTCCTAGCACAAGCTCCCTCAAGTTGCAGCATTAGAGCACACTGGAGTTTTGGAGTGAGCAGCACCCAAACAGAATCATTTAGCAAAGGCATAAACAGTCCCAACAGAAAAAGCAGCACAGTTTCCATTCAGAAAGTGAAAGGCATATTGGCAGGAATGGGAACTGGAGATGGCATCCCAGTAAAGGGGAACAGCCAAATACTGTGACAGGCAAACCTGAGATCACTAAGAGCAGGCTTGGTGACCTCCTAGTCATAGGACTGGGGCTGATGCAAGAGGAGTTTAAGATAGAGCTGCAGGGACAAAGAGATGGGTTATCAAAAACAAAGCTAGAAAATGAGCTAAACACATAAACATGATGCTTTCCTTAGCAAAGAATGTTGTAATGAGATAAGAAACAAAAAACTAATAAAATAGGGTAAAGAAAAGCTCTGTCTGTTGTCAGAATCAAAGTCTATAGTGCATAAGGTGAGTTCAAGCAGAATCAGTTGAAACAGGGATCTGGAAAGGTAAATAAAAGGCTTCAATTAGATGTGGTGAGAAGCCACATGGCCATGAAGTGCACTAAATTGCTGGATAGCAAATAAAAACCCTTTTGTTATTGTAAGGGAATGCTGTGATCCTTGAAATGTACTTACATTTTCCATCTACTAGTCCTTTGTGCAGAGCTCATCTTATATTCTTTCCAGGTTCATGTGCAGGGTGTTTTAAATAAAACAGTCTTGGGTGGTACAGACAGTGGTCTCTGTGTGAGAAGGACAAAGAAAAAAATACCTTCCCTTGGAAGTGCAGGAAAAAAGATTCCTTTTATCTTTATTGGATAGGACTTTATTGGAAGGACTACGGAGTTTTCTACACCCAGTGGCCCACTGATGACCCTTGCAGGTATTCAGCTCTCAGCTGAAAGACCTGCCTTTATAGAAGCATCACAAAGAACTTTTTCATTTGGCATATGCTATAAACCAAACAACAATGCAGTTTGTTATTTCTTAATTTGTATTTAAATTAACTTCATTAGTTTAAAAATTATTCTGCTATTTTAACCAAGCTCTTTGCTGAAATTCTGTGCAGAGTTTTCACCTTTTTTTTTATTTTGCCTTTTTGCTCTTGTCGTTTCAGCCCACCACTGGCATTATGCTGGCTTATAAAATCCGAGTGCATTCCACTTGAAGGTGACAAATGCCATCTGGTGGAGATCAGTGGCTCCTGCTACAACCTCAGCCACACCTTCAGGGACGCGGGGCAGTATTGCCTCAGTGTCAGGGTGGAGAACGGCGCGACAATGCTGCAGACCTACCACGGGATCAAAGTGCGGCCAGCAGGTGAGGGGCAGGGAGTCTGAGCAGCACGGAGAGTGCCAAACAGGTTAGGAACAAGCATGGATTAACCAGCCTGCAGATGAGGTTTCAGGAATGTGGTGTAGATCCCTAAAATGAGAGGAATTAAAAGGGGAATGAGAATTTATAATGTGCCTGCTGCAATTGCCCTGAGCTTCTTGTGTTCTGCTGAACCCTCAGTCCCAAGAGTGTCTTGAAGCTACTAAGTACACTGGGAAGGCTGTATTACTTAGACGAAATATTTTTCAGTTTAAATAGTCCAGCTTTTGTAGTTAGAGAGGATAACTAGGAAAACATAAGCATCTGAAATGCTACCTTAATTAAACAGTCTCAATTCTTTTTGCTTAGTTCAGTTATGGAATTTTGAGGGTAGATTTTTCTAGGCCTCTGTTTCATTCCAAGTCTCTGTCCCTCCTGCCAGTGACCCCAGCTGGCTCCCCCATGTGTGGTCACACATGGCCCTCTTGGGTCCCTAAACCACCTGGGAGAGTGGTTAGGTGGCCAGGGGAAGAGGACGGGGCACAGCCAGGCTGTGACACAGAGTGACACAGTGACACACCATGTCACTGTGAGCCAGCTGTGTACACACAGGGCAGCTCACTCCACTGGTGTGCATGCAGGGCTGAATCCTCTGTGCTGGAGGCTCTTGGCTGCTGGGGAGGTGAGAGTCCTTCCCATCGTCTTGGGGTACCCCAAACACTCTGGGGAGTCAGGGGTAACATATGTAACTGGGTAGAGGTTTCTAGGGTCTTCAGTGCAAAAGAGGGCATAAAGGGAAAGACCCTTACAAACCCCTCTCCCACTCCTGAGATTTCAGAAACACCTGGAGTGATTGGAGCTGAAAAGTTTATTCCTTCTTACACAGATTCCTTTTTCTAAAAATACTCCTAAAATTTCATTATTGTTTCCTTCTCACTGTTGCCTTTTTCTGGGGTATTGTGTCACTCCAGAAATGCCTCCTTGTGCTTCTTCCTAGGAATCCACCCAGCTTTCTTTGTCCTGCTCTGCACTGCTCTGGTTTCAGTGATGCTAATACTGGTGCTGTACATGACTTTTCGAAGTCACACACAACAAAAAGATCTCGTGGAGGTATTCAGTTACTCTTACTTTGAGCTGGGATAGTAATTAGGTAGCTTTCAGCCATGAAAGGTATCTGATATGAAAGATTCTTTAATCCCCAGACAAACAGAGTGGGAGGGAGAATTTCCCTGCTAATTGTGATCTGTTCCACAAAAAAAAAAAAAAAAAAATCCAAGCAGTGTAGGCAGATGAAGAAACAGCCATGCTTCTGGCTTGATGCAGAGAGCTCTGAATTGCCAGAATAATAATGGGCAGTTTTTTAATATTCCCAAGCAGATGCTTGCATTGAAGTATCCATTCGAGAGGATCTGTCTCAGAGTAGTTACATGAAAGAAAGCAAGGAGACAGTGCAAGAGGGTACAGGATAATAAAAATAAACCTAAAGCAGCCCTAAATTGTTACCTACCCCTTGTATGTGGCCTTCATCTCCCCACCTCTCCACCATTTCTAATATACTTTCACTTGCTACAAAAGGTGCTTGCAATAAGCATGAGTTCTTAAATCAAAAGTAGCTTTCATGATACTTTGGAAAGTACCTAATACCCTTTACATTGTGCCACAGTATAAATTATATACCTCTAGAGACACTGTCTATAAGCCATGTGCACAGCAGGTATAAATCAGAAGCCTATTTGAAGTTAGTGACTGAGTGAAAATGGTTGAGGACCAAGTGCCATTTGTAGCCCAATGTGCTCTTGCTGGATTTGAGCCAGTGGGAGCTGAACTAAAAATTATCTTTTTGATGTTCCTTTCCCAGGTAGCTGACTTTGACTTTTCTCCACTGTCGGATGAACACCGGTCTAATCATTCCAAGTCAGGCTGTGGCCCAGTATGTTGCAGATCGTGTTTTCTTCAACCATCAAAAGAAGATGCCTGGGAGAGTCATGAACTTCTACATTCACTTTACAAGCCAGTCAAAATGTACACACTGTGAAGAACACAATTGCACTTTGGTTGCACTGTCTAACTTTCTCACTTAGGCTAAGTCAAAAGCCTGGTGCTGCATGAATGGTTTGGTTCTGCCAATGCAATGAGGTTCAGCACTTTAAGTCCAGCACTTGAGTACTTCATTTTCTGAACTTAAAAAGAACAAGAAACACAGTAAAAGTAGCTTTGTATTTTTAACTTATACGGGTGTGTACATTTACAGCTGTAAATGCAGCATTTTATTCTTATGAAAGATTGTTTTATGTGCAGGTTTGCTAAATTCACTACCTCTTGTAATTTCTCTGTTCCTTCTGTTCTCTGTTCCAAAGAAGAAAATGCCTAAGACAAACATACCTCCTTTCCTATGTACAACAGCATTACTGGAAATGGAAGTCACCCAAAATACTGTTGAATGTGCATTTCTTCTATCAAGGAACTGATGTGTCCACATTGAAAACAGGTGTTTCCAATGAACCAGACTACCTAATTATGTTGTCCTTTTCCCTGTCTTAAAAAACCCCTTTTTAAGCTAATGGACTTCTGTCAGACTGCAGTGGCAGTGACATGCTCACCTGCTAGCAGTATTTTGGTGCTGCATAAACCTCCATATGCCCACCACTTTCTAAAATGGAATACCACTCTAATCTGTATAACTAGCTTTATTTTTAGGCTATTCATGTTTCTTTTATACTTCATATTGCTCCCCAATTAGCCATCAAAGGTCCTCTTCCAAAAAAAGCAACAACTAGTAGCTCAAATCTGTTCAGCAAAACATATTTAATTGAAATTTTTAATCAATGTTCAAGGCTGTATAAACTCCATGCCTGCTGCAGACTATCATCTACTATCAGCTTCCTGCTCAGCCAGGCTTTGCCCACTGGCATTTGAGAGTACCCTGGAGGCTTTTAAACAGAAGTGCCTTTGTGTCCACTTCTTTTTTTAAATGTGACACACCCTCCCCACCTCTGTTTAAAGCATATGTTACAGGTATTGTGGACTTAAGGTTTTTCATGTTATCTCAAATGATGAGAAGGTAATTGTCTGAATGTGAGGGGATTTACCGTGAGGTTTTTGGGGTACTCATCTCACATGTTCAACTTCTATGCTTCCTCAGAGGAGCCCAGATCTTCAGTTCTTATGTGAAAGAAATTACATGACCCTTAATTCAATACATTTAAAATAGAATAGGATCATGTAAGATAACAAATCCTATAAACCCAAGCTTTTGTCAAAAGGTCCCTTCCAAAGCAGAACTTCTTTCAGCTTTTCTTCCTTAGAAATGATATTTCTAAGCAAGCTTGTTGATTGAGAGTGGTGTTCTTTGTATTCTTTCTCAGTGCTCTGGTATCAAACTCTTATCTTCAGCCATATTCAGTTACTGCTAAGAATGTGCCTCTCTTTAGCAAAGAAGCTACTGTGCCTGAGAGCTTTAGATTCATTGTTTATTCCTGAGATCTCACCCCTCTGAGCCACTGCCAAAGGCAGTGACTTGTTCTGGGATGTCAGTGTAGTTTGGAAATGGCTACATGGTCCTTGGGCAGTGGAAAGAAGAGATTTCTGATATGCAAAATGCAGCTCAGAATGACAGAGTCCTGAGACTGCACAGGGGTTTCTGCAGCCAGAATTGGTTTTGGGCTTCTTTTATTACATTTGTGAAAGACATGTGGCCCTTGCTGTTGCAATACACTTAAAGACAACCCATTGACATGTTAATGGATGTGTAAAAAGCCCTTTCTTCTCCATATTGTACTACTAGCAAAGACAATATCTGTGAGAGCAGACTCAGTTATAGATACATGAAACTGGCATCCTTTGGGTTTCAAACAGGTAATTTGAAAGGAACAAGACTTATGCTTTGGCCCCCTTTTGAATTAATACCCAGGTGATCCAGAGTGGCATGGGGACTTAGGCCATGAACTTTGCTGCTTTGGCTTTTTGCATTTGTGTTCTCCTCCATATGTATAAGCCAAGATACCACTGATCATGCCAAATCTGGCAAAGTAGGCATCAACCCCCATCAAAAAAGTGGGACATGGAGTTAGAGATACAAAAGACAGGCCTAAGAAAATCCCCAATTTCCTACTGAGAAAAACAGAACAAATGTCCTTCAAAAGAACATTGGCTCTTACTCTGCCTGTGTGTGGAGTGAAGAAAGGATGGCAAATGAATCAAATTATTCAGGAGGGTAGAAAAGATAAGGTGCTGCAAAGTAGAAAGTCAACAGTATCAAATACTGGAAGACACTTCTTCAAGAGCAGACAAGAATAGAGGTTAGAAAGAAAGACATCTCTGGCAAAAAATAAGCAGTGGAGAAAGTACACTTAAAAGGGTATGTCAAGAAGCCAATTAACCAAGAAAATTTAAACAGCCTTCGCAAATTGAAATATAAGTATGAGAAATATTCACACGAATATGTTCTTGAATCCAATATGAAACTGCTTCCTGCACAAAAGACTGCTCTGTGGGTTTGATAAATGCATCTGAAATTGAAGACAAAAGGTAATTGAGCAGTTCAGGATATAGCAATGAGATTAGTGGGACGTAGCAAGGATCAGGAGGAGGATTCATTTTGTTAACCTTAGAAATCAATGACCTGAAAAAGGAATGTTCAGCACAAGGATCAAACTCACTGACTCAAAACAAGAGTCCAGTGAGTGCAAAGCCAAAGAGCCATTAAATTCAGGCGATAAGCAAGAGTGTGGGCAGATAAAAAATGTATGCAATGAGAACTTTTTACAAGGAAATGCATTTGAGCACAGAAAGGTTTTGGAAATGCACAGTAGAAAAACACACAGCAAAGCAAAAGAACTTCTTTTACTCTGTAATTTGTCATATAAACAATGGTGTTGGTTTGTGCAGTAATTGTGAGGACAAATCAGCCTTTTATCTTAAAAGCAGAGCATAAGGCTCCGTGGCTGAATGGGTCAAGGCTGAATTTTGTCTGTCCTCTCTGGAAAGGAGATTACACAGCCCAAGCTGTGACCACACGAGGCCTCTGTAGCATTTGCTGGGTGCTGTAGGAACAGAGGTTTTCTCAGCAAAAGGAAGGTGAAGAACTTCATATTTAAATGCTCAGCTTTATTATTAGATAATCAGCCGACACTTCACCTTGATTTTTGTGCTAGTTTCCGTGGAAACTGAAATGCCATCCTGCAGCTGTCACAAAATTGCTCAGATCCTGCAGATCTCAGCTTTGACAGCACACCGTGCACTACAAATGTGGATTTTTAAACTGCAGCCACGAAAGTGGAGAACACAGAAGTTTCAGAAACTTCTTTCAGAGCTGGTATACTCATCACCAGCATGTGTAACTCCTACAGCAGTGTGGACAAAGAGAGCAGTCACAGCAGATCATGGAATCATGAAGTCATAGAATGGCCTGTGTTGGAAAGGACCTTAAAGATCATTTAGTTCCACACCCCTGCCATGGTTGCACCAGATGAGGTTGCTACAAGTCCCATCCAACCTGACCAACCTGACCTTGAGCATTTCCAGGGATGGGGCATCCACAACTCTGGGCCTGTGTCAGGGCCTCAACACCCTCACAGTAAACAATTCTTTTCTGGTGTCTAAATTAAACCTCCTCTCTGTCAGTTTGAAGCCATTCTGCCTTGTCCTGTCACTACATGTTCTTGTAAAAAGTACTCTCTCCACCTCTCTCATCATCTCCCTTCAGGTAGGGGAATCAGGTCAGCCCAAAGCCTTCCCTCTTCCGGGCTGAACAATCCCAGTTCTCTCAGCCTTTCCTCACAGCAGGGTTGCTCCATTCCTCTGATCCCTGTAGTGATCGCCTCTGGATTCATCCAACAGCTCCAGGTCCTTCCTGTGCTGGGCCCCCAGAGCTGGGGGCAGCTCTGCAGGTGGGGTCTCACCTGAGGGGTGGAGAATCCCCTGCCTCTAAATGGTGTTTTATAAAATACTGCAGTCGTACAACTCTCCCAACTACAGGAGCAAATCATACTAGAGCACTAGAGAAAAGACTAGCCCAGCCAAATTATTTTCTAATGCATTTGCTCACAGCAGTCTTGGGAGGCAGAGAAGTGATATTATCACTGTTCACAGGAGGCAGAAGGGAGCCGTGCAGAGATATGGAGCTTGCTCGAGCACAGGCAGCTGCAAATACCTGCATAAAATTCCAGATTAAAAAGATTACAACCATCTACCAAATCCTTGTTCTTCTGTTGGAAATTATACAACTTTTCTAATTTTTAATTAATGGCTTTAATTAATTTAAATTAATTGGTTTTATTTAATCATAACCAGTGTATTAATTATAAGCAATGTATTAAATTACTTTTAGCCAAAATTTAGCATGGGCTAAATTTGTATTGGGGGAATACAGCTTGGGGAAATTACAGAAACTTAAAGTTTTGCTTATCTATCTTTGATATGCTTCAGTGAGCAAGGCCTGGGAGAGAGTGATGTATTGTTGAAATCGGATACGAGAAGTGAAAAATTTATGGACCACATAGATGTTTTTCAGGAACCAGAAGGTAAAGAAGAAGATAACAAAGACTCAGTGTATTTGTGTTGGAAAATCCCTGCTGAAGGAAAAAAGATACTAAAAAGACTAAAAATATGAATTAGCAGGAACAGTGAGAAATCCATAACCAAGAGAGGACAGAATACTAATTCATGAACGAATTGTGTGATTTGGAATCAGTGAACATTAATCTCTTTGTTTACTAAAAATACACAAACAGGTGAAGAAGTTTTGTATCAGCACCTTGTGTGGAGGCTGGAAAATTTTGCCGCAGGTGAAGAAGTTTTATATCAGCACCTTGTGTGGAGGCTGGAAAATTTTGTCGGCCACACAGACACACACACACACCTCTCTTGAGCAAAAATAAAGCAACACCTTCCTCGCTGGCACTAAAAGGTATCAGAGGGTTTATCTACCCCGGAGGGTTTAAAAAGGCTCTATTAGAGTTTATTTCCCCGGCGGGCTCGGGGGTTTGCTGCGGCCTGCGGAGCGGGGCCGACTCCGGGCCCAGGCCGGGCCCCGCCGCGCACCAGCCGGCCGGCAGGGGGCCCCCGCCGCGCGGGGATCTCCCTCAGCCGCCTCAGAGCCATGGCGGCGGCACGGGACACGGGGCACGGGAGACGGGGCACGGGACACGGGGCACGGGACACTGGGGACGGGAGACGGGGCACGGGACGGGCTGAGGGGCGGCCGCCGTCCCGCAAAACAGCGGCGAGGGTGCGGTGGCGCCCCGTGCAGCCCTGAGACCACGCTCAGGGTCATCACTGCCCCGAAGGTCGGGGTCAACACTGTGGCAAAATGCTGTCCTGTCCTGTGCAAGGCTTGTGTCCTTCACTGGGAGGCAATGATGGGTGGATGGATGGATGGATGGATGGATGGATGGATGGATGGATGGATGGATGGATGGATGGATGGATGGA